ATATATTTTATTGATTTTTTACAGAGAGGAAGGGAGAGGGATAGAGAGTTAGAAACATCGATGAGAGAGAAACATCGATCAGCTGCCTCTTGCACACCCCCTACTGGGGATGTGCCCGCAACCAAGGTACATGCCCTTGGCCGGAATCGAACCTGGGACCCGAGTCCGAAGGCTGACGCTCTATCCACAGAGCCAAAGCGGTTAGGGCGGAGATATTTTTAGCACCTGCCAGAAGAGAGCGTGGGGGGAGCTGGGTCTGTGGTGGGGATCCGGTTTCTGTGGCTTTGGACAGAGGAGCCGGCTCTGCATTGAGGTGGGTAGTACCTGTTAGACTTCTACGTTGGGACTGTTCTTTAACTGAATCAGTTATTTTCTTGAACTTTCAGAGTGGGGGGGGGGGGGGGGGCAGTTTTAAGGCTCTGACCAAATACCATGAAGCACGAAGCACATGGGATGCAGGGCCCGGGCTTCCTGCCAGGCTGGGAGGTCAGCGTCCTGGGCGTCGTGGTTTTCAGGAGCGTCATTAAAAGCACTTTGCTCTGCTCTCAGGAAAAAAAATTAAAAAAAAAAAAAAGACAGAACCTGGCTGGAGATCCTGGCTAGAGAACCTGGCTAGGCTGCTGATCAACTGAACGCTGTCTCCGTGTCATTCCTTCTTCGCCGATTCCGTCCACACCTTTGGGAACCCCTGGACCTGCTGGGGTTGGACCCCAACAGAATGTTTTGAAGGGAAAAAACAGGTGTGATAAGACTATGTTGGGAGGGAGATGGTCTGGAAATCAAAGGGATTGTGAAAGGTTCCTCTGAACAAGTGACATTAAGACTGAGGCCTAAGGGACAAGAAAACGTTGGTCATCAGAAGTGTATTCCACACCAGTGTGTGCCAGGGCTCCATGGTGGGAAGTAACCTGGGGTGTTCAAGGAATGGAAAAGAGGCCACTGGTCCAAAGCACTCACTCTCATTCCAGGTGCAATTGGAAGCAATCGAAGGATTTTTAAGCAGAGAAGGAAAAGATCTGACTTAGTCACAGAACGATCACTCTGGCTACTTAAGCAAAAAGTGAATTGGAGAAGGCAAAGGTGGAAGCTGGGGAACCAGCCAGGGGACTATTGCAATGGTCCAAGTGAGAACAGTTTGTGGATAGGACCAAAGTTTTGGGAGTGGATAGACTTGAGATGTCTTTTATATATAGTTAGATTTGTCAGGATTGGGTTGTTGTGGGGAAATGAAGTAGGGTGAGTATAAATATTTCTCTCTTTTCCTGCATCCAGTGTGGCTAGAGAGTGGTCCGGTTCCTGAGTAGGGGCGATGGGGCTTGAGAAAATGAAAGAGACAGACACACATACAGTAGGGAAAGCTGGGACTGGGAGGGACCACTGTCCTATGATGGGGAGACAGGCACCCAGAGCTAATACAGCATGTTTATTTTATACAGCAAAAACCAGGAAGTTTTACTAAAGGTCAAGACAAAGGAGATTATGTGCATTCTTGGGTGGGCCTGAGTCGTATTCATTCCTGGTGCTTGGCTGGATTTAGATAACGAAACCCACACCCTGGCTCTGGGCTGAAGGTCAGGCTGACAACACTCCTGCCTCTGGCAAGGCCTGTTTCCAGGACGTGGCTCTGCCAACGCCACTGGATTCAGCTGACAATAATTAAAGAAATGCCCATGTGCCTTCCCAGGTGCTCTCTACAGGTGAGGAATACAGACCTACCCCTAGGATTGCGTGCATAGAATTGTCATGAAAGGAAATGGGATGGTGGGGAGAAGGATAACTTTGGGCGGCCCAAAATCAAGAGTGAGGTTAAATTTGAGATGTCTGTGAGTCATCCAAGTGGAAATGTCAAGTAAGTAGTTGTGTTTGGAACACAGAGGAGAGGTTTGGGCTGGAGAAATGAATTTAGGAGCCAGGGAAAGATGAAATTGCCTAAGGAGTGCAGCAAGAAAAGTGAGCCCAGATTTGAGTCTAGGGAAGCGCAAGTCCTCCAACGTTTACAGGTGAGATCAAGAGGAGGAAGAGGCAGTGAAATGGGGATAATGGCAAGAGGTGGCATCATGGAACCCCCAAGAGGGGAGTGCTTTGAAAAGGAGAGGAGTCAACCTAATATTCCTGAGATGTCGAGTAAAATGAAGACAAAACGTGACCATTGGAGAGGAACATGGAGATCGTTGGTGACTTTGAAGAGTGCAGTTTGGGGGAGGGTTGAAGGCAGGTTCCAGGTAGGGTGGTATCCTAATTGTTGGGGTAACTTGGATTCGTCATGATGTCTGGGAGGCCACGAAACCTTTGGGCATCGATAAGTGGTGAGGCGAGCAGAGAGGACCTGATGCTATAGAAAAGCAGGCAGTTGGTATGTTTCGTGTCCCATGTCTCTGATGGGTGTCTGTGAAGATCAAGCTGCCCTGAGCCTGGCAGGATGGTGCAGGAGCTGAAGAATCTCTTGCAACATCCTTCTCCAGACGTTGCTCACTAACCTGTGTCCCTCTCCCCCTGTCTGCTCCCCTACAGGACACTTCACGGCCATGGTGTGGAAGAATACGAAGAAGATGGGAGTGGGAAAGGCATCTGCAAGTGATGGGTCCTCCTTCGTGGTGGCTAGATACTTCCCAGCAGGGAATGTTGTCAACCAGGGCTACTTTGAAGAAAATGTCCTGCCTCCAAAGAAGTAACTTGCCCAATGTAATGGGCAGGTGGCAGACTAAGAACATGGATATCAAGTGCCTAGAACATCAAAAGCTCAGCTGTGTATCCGTCTTTGTGGGTGTATGTGCTTGCGTGTGTGATGCATGTGCGTGTCTCTTGCACACACACCCTTGGATATACAGTTGTGCATGAACTAATTCTTACCAAAGGATTGAGCCAATGAAGCCTTTACTCTGATGGTTAGACCACAATTATTTGGACTTTGGGGGGAAAAATCAAGTTTTAAACTTTTTGGGGTTATTTTTAAAGTAAACTTCTTCTGTACCTTTCTTACTTATAATATCCATCCCTGGACTTTTTGTACTTCAAATGTTTGTGATGCTGAGAGGTGAAGGTCATTTCCTATGATCATGCATTAGAATCTACTTGTGGTAGATACTGAAGACTATTAAACCCTCATTTAAATGTGACATAGAACACAGCTTTAAACACATAAATAATAAAGCAGCTTCCATCAGAAACATGGTGCGGGCAGGGGTTCCATTTCACAGAATTACTGAGAGTTCTTTGTTGTAAGACATGATGTCATCTGCATGGCCCCTGAAATTCTCGGATGGGATTGCCAAAGAACAAATGGAGAAAAAAGCTTCACTTCCTTGCATTTTTCTACCTTAAAATAACCTTCTGAGGCTGCTTTCCCAAATCTTCCCCTGCATCTTTCCCTCTTCATCTACTCCATTGACTGTGGGAGGGGCGGCCTGGAGCTCGGAGTGGCTGGGCTTCCTTCCATGTGTCCGTGTGTTTTGATGCATACTAGCTGGAGTGCCTGCCGGTGGGAAGAAGAGGGCCCTACCCCTGCCTCTGAGGAGGGGCCACCTCCTGCGTGTTTGGGCTCCACTGGCATCTCTGCTTTGCTTCCTGCCTCCCTCTCTCATCTCCCCCCCACCTCCCGACATGATCAGCGTGTGCCAGGGCCACATCATTCTGTTAACAACAGTGCTGTGTAGCCTTTGCACGAAGTTCACTAGACAGATGAGGCCTGGGCTCGTGCGGCATGGGCTTAACATGGTGAACGAAGGCTGGGAGAAAGCAGTTTTGAGAGACGTTTTCTCCTGAAACTGTTTCCTTTTATGTTTGAGCCAGTGAGTGTAACTGTCCGTGGGGGGTCGGCCACCTGCCTGCCGGTGGCCCCTTGTCAGGTTCTCTGTCCCCTACATGCTCTTTTCACTTTCAGCTCTTGCTCCCTTTGTCTCCTGTCATCTGCGGGCCTCTCGTTTAGCCATTTAATGCCCAAGAGTGGCCAAACCGCTTCAGACATCCTGGGGCCAGGGGGAGTGTCGCTTCTACGCAGGCACAGGCGGGCTCCCGGCAAACAGCCGGCCTCTTCCAGCGTCTCAGATTCCGTGGTCTTGGTTTAAAAGTTTATTTCTCTCTCTGGCCTCGCCAAAGAGCCAGCACGAACATTACTGCGCTGCAGGCAGGTCATGATGGACTTTTTGTTCAGAAGGGCGGCTCGGTGACAGTTGTGACCATCCCTGGGCCAGGTACAGTTCTGAAGGGTGGGGCGCGCTAAATCCATAGTTCAGCAGCCAAGTTCTGGTTCATGAAATGTTTACAAACACCCCTAATTTCCTGCAGGTGGGACGTTTTATTTTCATGCGCGTCCCTGGCCTCTTAAAGGATAAGGTGAGACTAGTAACCAAATATTATTTGAATCTAGAAATGAGTGCGTAGCCTATGCTGACCAATTCTGGGGCTTACCAACTGCCTGCTGCTGACCTGGCCGGCAAGTGCTGACGGTGGAGATATTTTTATTTTTTATTTTATTTTATTTTTTTAAGTATATTTTATTG